GGGGGGGGGGGGGGGGATGAGGTTGTGAGGCGCTACAACCCCAGTAAGGTCATTTAGTCACTAGTTTAGCGTCCTCTACCCGCCCTACAAAACAGGGGCAGATGCATGTGTTTCCCCGATTTATAACTCTTAGCTAAATGATTCATGACACACTCGTGGGTACTGATTTATTTGACTTATTTATATGTAGTGTTTATATGAAGTGTATATATACATATATATATATATATATTTATATAAAAACATATATATATAATATATATATATAATGTATATATATATATCTATATATACCATGTTTACAGAAGAACTTGTGACGCTAGAAACAATAACTTATAATCTATTAGAAATATACAATTGTTTGTTTCCCTTTACCTGGATCAAAGCTCTCTACATGGCATTCGATTTCCTTCAATATCAATGAATGGAATTCAGCGGTATTCTTTTTAAAACTATAAAAATATGGATTTGGCACATGACGAAACCATGGGATAAAGTCAGCAGTCCATCCATTACCAAGTCCCAAGATGACTTTTCTTGAAGTTTTCATAATTTTGTTAAGTCTTGGATCATTCACTTCATATCTAAATATATAGAAATATACATAATAGTAAACTAAATTTACGAGAGACGGAAAGTTCTACAGTGAAAGCAAAACATATTGAAGCCAACGTGTGTTGACAGAACTATTCTGCCTATCCAGACCTCCCGAATGTAAAAAAGTATAGAGAAAAGTTGTCCTTGAGAAAAATGAAACCACTGGATCCGTCTACAACTTGTCCGTGTTAGAGTTAAAAATATCACTTTTTAATTGATATGTACACGTGGGGGTTCAAGTTTATACAGTTGTACATTAGTGATGTTTGATACAGATAGAAATTTTGATTTGTATCATGCACAAAGTGAGTATGGTAGTAATTAATTGCACAGTCTGCGACCACGAATAATAGCAAATGTCGACAGGCATCACAGAGAGAGGATATAGATTTGTCGGCTGATGGTCGTACGACTAATTTAAACTGCACATACCTGTGACCAAAGCACATGGAGGCAAGTACGTTGTAAACAGCAAAACCAATGACGTCATGTGGGTCGAATGGTTCTTTCAGGTTATCCGTTATGATTTCTTGCAAGACTGGTCTTATTTCTTTAGTAATATTTTCTAAGTATTCACCAGATGCGAATTTTCTTAAAACAGAAAAACTTAGCATTGAAATCAACATCTAAAATAACATACAACTACTAGTATAAGAAGATTTAAAATATTAATGTAAATAAAAATGAAAATAATATTAAGGCTAAATTTAATGTAAATAGTAAAGTAAAGTGATGCAATAATTGAGCATAGCTCATCAATGGAAACATTTCTTATTAACTATCTTAAATTGTTTTGGTGAAACCATATAGTCAATGCTTGCGTAATAGCGTTAAAACCAAAGACATTGGTATAAATATACAAGTGCCCGATCGTCTGAGCCTAAAAATTATGCACCACATACAATTTGTTGTGCATCATTGTGTAATAGTTAACAGTGATGTTGTTGGTTAAGTGAGATATCTGGATAAAGGAAACTTTGACCTTTATTGTTTTATCCAGGTAAGTATTCCCCTTGGGTAATGCATATAGTACAATCTAGATATCATATTAGGTTTTTAACAGCAGTTCAATTTAGTTCAATCTTTATTCGATCAATTACATAAATGACTATGGTAAACCTGATAGCGGAGTGAGCTAGCATACGATGGTACTTCCAAATTGGAGTAGGCTGGGCCATAGCAATATCTTGTTTACCGTCTGCATACCAATCAACTATTTAAAAAGAAAGAAAAACAGAAACAAAACAAAACAATAATTAAAGAACCTAATAATTATATATATTTAATAGTAAAACTTTATAGAAATTGAAATACCAATGCAAATAAACAATATTTTAGCTTTTTTACACAATAGGATTATTTTGTTGAAAAAACTAATCCTTCTTTACAGTATTTACGAAACTATTATTATGCAATTTTCAGTTAATAAACAAAGGAAATTTATATACATAGGCCTACATAAGAGAAAATTTTATACCATACTGAACAAAAAAGTGGTGAGGTAAAATTTTATGATGTTTTAGGCTTTGAGAGAGGGAAATTAGTCATTGTCAAAAATATTTAATTATTTTTTGTCCATTCATTTAATATCACTCAGCAGACGTGATACCTGTGGCTTCCAATGGGGGGGGGGGGGGCCCT